CAACAAAGGGGAGACACTCGGCTCTACGGAGGGTGTTTGGTTACGCACAGGAAGTCCTAACCTAAAGGCTAGCTCTAGGAAATTGACGATCCATCACGCAGGCACGTCGTCGCACCGACCCATACCGGCGCACGCACCCCGTGTGGGTGATCGAACCCACACGCCTAGACACCCCTAAACCTAAGGCTAGCTAGGAGTTTAGGGGATCTCACCACCGCGAAGGTTGCAGAAGCATTCTCTTTATGCTGAGGGAGAGCTCGCGTTTCTGATCTGTGCGTCAGTATGCCTCGCAATGAACCATGCAACGAGAAATATAGGAAGTTGTGAGGTATGCAAAGTACGAGAAAAATAATTGATTTTGGCATATGAAAATATAACCAAAACATACCTTCGAACAAGGTTCACTCAGGCTTAAGCATGCTCAAGCTTATCACGCAAGGAGTCACAGAAATTTTGCATGAAGATTCTATGCAACGAGCTCGTCTACATTGTTCCCCAACAATGGAAGATATCAGAACAAGTCGTTGCCATAATTTTCATTTATTATTATTATTATTATTTTAACAAAAGATGCACTCATGTTTATTTTGCAAATCACAAATGATTCACATCTGCTTAATCAAAGTGAGACAAATTCACAAAAGAATAATTTTGATTTATCTTAATCCTCAATGCCTTGAAATTCTATAAATTAAATCATTAATGTGATAGAATTTCATATCTATGAATCAAATTTATGGCATATAATAGAGGATTTAGAGCAAGGTTTAAACTGAATCTACCTCTTTCTTTCTGCCTCCCAAGTTTTGGATAAGAGTAGTTCGGAACAAAGAATAAAAATGGGAGTTTTGTATCTCTGTTTGCTGCAAGGACTGCTTGCGGCACATCGGCGACGAGGCAGGTGGCCGAAGTTCGGCCGACCGAAAGAAAAAGGAAGGCGACGAAAAGGCCAGAGTTCTGCGCAGGATGGGGCTGAGGTCGGCCGGAGCCGGCCGGATCTCGGCGCAAGGAGGCCGACGACTGGAGGAAGTCCGGCGACGGCGTCGGTTTTCGCCGATGGCAAGGAGGAGGTGCGGCCAAAGTGGGAGAGACTCCATGCAAGCTCTCTCTCTCTCTCTCTCTCTCGCAGGTAGGAGAGGTTCGGCGACATGCTTCGCCGGCGAGGAGAAGGCCGGCAATGGAAGAGAGGGATTCGGGGTAGTTTTTTTCGCGAATCGATCGAGAGGAAGCAGGCCGTAGGGGAGAGGGAGAGATGCGGTTTTTTTTTTTTTAGTTTTTCTTAACGAGGAGAGAGAAGGGCCTTTTGCATATATATGTATATGAGAAGGGCTTTTTTGCATATATATATATATATATATATATATGGGAGAGGATGCGTGGGTTGATAAGAGAGAGAGAGAGGTTTTTTTTTTTAATTATTATTATTATTCTTGTGAATCTCCCCTGGGAGAGGGAGAGAGGCGTAACTTTTTTTTGAGAGCATCAGATTTTTTTTATAATAATATTAATAATAATAATAATAATAATAATATTATTATTATTATTATTATTATTATTATTATTATTATTATCTCTCCATTTTTTTTTTTGCCAAACACGTCATCGCAATAAAATGAACGTCTCTCTTAGGTAAAATTGACGTTCTGGACGTGACCGCGCAGTCCGTTTCTTCATTCAGAGTCGTTTGGGCCACAAGTCGTTTGGGCCACTTTTTCGATTATCGTGCCCAAAACGATAATTTGGACATTTTAACCCCGCCCGCGAAGCCGTAGAGAAGT